GAACACACATATCATAAGGTCTGGAAAACCTCTGCCGAACTGAAGAACATATGGCCTTTCTGTGTGCCATGTGGTTTTTAAGTATGCTAATGTGTGGCCTATAGAATGAGTATAAAGACCTTAGGAATAAGTCGCGCAAGCGCAAGAAAAAGGGATGACTTGGGTGGGACGCGTTACCGCGTCACAATGTCCCAAGAGGTGTGCAAAGTGGGACGCGTTACCGCGTCACACTATCGTTAACGTGTTAAATTTTGCTTTCTCATTGTCATTACACGTACTTGCGAGAACTTCCACCTTTACACCCCTGTATGCTTCTGCGCATTTAATATTCCTGAACTGATTTGGTGACACTCTGTGTACTCCGCATTCACCATCCATGTGATCCATGTGTATGAGGTGGGGTAGCGTCGGTCCCACGTCGCCAATAAAACTAAAGTGCTCAATGCGGTAAGACAAGACGACGGCGTGACGCGGCCGCGCGTCACGCTCTCGCACGAGAAGGCTTGTTTTTATTTGTTGGTCTCATTTTCATGTTTTAATTTAATCCTTCCACTTTATCGTGTCGTGCTTTTCAGGTGAATGCTGGCAAGCAATGGAAAGATATCAAAGCAAAACTCGAGAATCCACAGTAGTAGGATTCCCTCAGTGAATACTAGAATTCCTTGTTTTGGTATAAAGATAGGATTTGTATAGACTTTATTTGGAAATTAATTGTTCACCGTTGAGATGCTCATGCTGGATGATACAGTTTAAAATTTCCGCTCAGAGTTCGCGTGTCTAATTCAACAGTCTACGTGCACGGTGTCGTCGTATGTGTTTTGCTTGACGGCTTCTAGACTTTTTTCACATTAAAAGCTTGGCCGCGGCGAGCGTGGACGAGTCGGTTGTGCTCCTCCTATTGATGCGACTGTGTCGAAGCTGCGTCTAAGGAGTGCGCGAGCACATCCGTTCTGTCCGCGCTCACCGTGACAGAGTTAACAGCCAGGATGATAACCAAGTCAGAAATGCAGAGTCCAGCCGCAGAAATTCATTTCTCATAAACGGAGGTGTGGAAACGGGGAAGGAAGTGCTGTTTTCCTTCCTCTCTAATGCAATAACAGTAACACATTATGTA